TGCAAATTTTAGTGGAATGTTCACTCAGTACTGTTGTATCTAAATTTTCATGTGTCCTTCATCTTGGACTGACTTGTATTTATGACCTTTTTATTGAGATTTAACTCAATATGGCAGATTGGTAAATTGCACAAATGTTGAAGTACACACTGTGATTTTTTTTTTTTAATTATAAGTGTGTGCACCTTAGTAACCAATGGGCAGATCAAGATACAGAACTTTTTCATCATCCCAGAAAATTCCCTTATGCCCCTTTCCGATCATTTCCTCCCAGTGGGGGGACCACAGCTCTGATTTCTATCATTCTGCACTAATTTTGTCTATTAAAATTCAAGTCTACCCTGTGACTCAACAAGAGAAACAAGGGCATATATCTACAAAAAGCCATGTGTGAGAATGCTTACGGCAGCTTTATTTGTAATGGGCCCAAACCAGGGCTTTGGCCCAGTTTATTCCAGTTTTACCTCTGCTGAGGATTTGCCTTTCCACCCCAGGTATACTGAACCAGTATCTAAATTTTAACAAGATCTTATGTATACATAAAGGTATTTGCAATGAATAAGTTGGTTGGTCTTGCAAAATTCTGTCTTGCGATCTCCGGTGTCATTTCTTTCACCAACGCCATAGTTTTCAATTACCAGTGATTGTTCTTTGTTTCCAACTTTTGTATTCCAACCATCAGTAATAATGAGTTCATCTTGATTGCATGTTCGGTCAATTTCAGACTTTAATAGTTGATGTGTAAATTTGAATAATAGTAGTATTAACTGGTCTTCTTTGTATGCATATGGATATTATCCTATCACTGACAGTATTGCACTTCAGGATGGATCTTGAAACATTCCTTGTGACGATGAATGCAGTGTCATTCCTCTTCAATTTGTCATTTCCTGGCAGAGTAGACCTTATGATTGTCTGATTCAAAATGGCCAATACCAATCCATTTCAGCTCACTGTTGTTATGTTGTTAGATGCCATCGAGTCATCTCCAACGCATAGCGACCCTATGTATAGCAGAACGAAACACTGCCCGATTTCTGTGCCAGCCCCATGATCCTTGCTCAGCCCACTAATGCCTAGGGTATCGATCTTTATGCATTCCATTTCTTTTTTCTTTTTATTGTGATTTGGGTGAAAGTTTACAGAGCAAATTTATTTTCCATGCAGCAGTTCATACACTTTTGTGTCATGATATTGATTGCAATTCCCCACAGTGTAACAATTCTCTTTCCACTTCTTCTCTGTAATGACCTCTTCCCTGAGTCCTTTCTATGCATTGCTGCCCCCTGAGTATCTCCTTGTGCAAATACTGTCTGTCTGTTCTCCCATGGTTGAACATTCTAAGGAGTTTATTCCTGATGTTAAGTGTTCACCCTGTATACCTATCTATTGTTTAGCTGGAAGCCATGGGAGTGAGTTCAGTTCCAAGGCTGAGAGGGGTGACTAGGGACCATAGTCTCAGGGGTCTCACCAGGCTCTATCAGACCAGTAAATTTGGTCTTTTTTATGATTTTGAGGTTTGTTCCACATTGTTCTCCCCTTTATCCAGGATCTCCTGCACTGATCCCTTTCTGAGTGGTTGACAATGGTAGCACCATCTTCTGGTCTCATAGCCATATAGGCTGAGGTTCACATGGTCCACTAGTCCCTTGGACTAATTATTTCCATGGGTCTTTGCTTTTCTTCATTCTTCTTTGCTTTGGATGAGGAGAGACCCATTGTTGCAACTAGATGGCTGCTTGCAAGCTTTTAAGACCCCAGTCACTACTCACCAAAGTAGGATGTAGAACATGTTTTTGTGTAGCATGTTAGCTACTTGAGTTTGATGCCCCCTGTGAACATGCTCCTGAGCCCACAGGTCCAACAGCTTGCTCCATCAGGTTGGTTGCCTGTGCCTAAGAAGTTAACATAACTTTGCCCCTGTTAATTCTAGTTGCATGGATATTCTTACAGCACATACAAATGCGTATGTAGAAATACGTCTTCCAACCTTATATATGGTCATGGGTATATTTTCTTTTGCCTAGAGATACTTTATTTAGTTCCCTACCCTGCCTGTGAGCCAGGTTGTCGGGGGCTCTGGGAGAGTCAGGGCCATGTGTGGTGCCTTGGAGGTTAACAGCCCCCAGCAGACCCATGTCTCCTGGAGAGTCTGGTGGCTGATTGGTGCTATGTCCTCTTGCAGCAGCAGCCTGGCATATGCCATGAAGTGGCATTGCTCTGCTGGAGCCTGGGACACTCTTCCTGGATCAGTCAAGTGACCTGCGTCTGTCTTCCTTGCTGTTGCACCGACTTGCCCACTCTGCCTCCAGGTTACACATGACTCAGAGGAACTTTCCCTGACCATGGTGAAATAATTCATTTATGGGGCCTTTTGCCTTGGTTCTTGGGTAAAATAGCTCTAGAGATTTTTTTCCTCTAAGCCCTGAGGAGTTACCTTTGCCCTAATTTTCTACTCCAGGGGGTTTGTTACTTTGTCCAGGTTGACTAACATTGCCTGGGTAAGCTGTAAACAGTTTGTGGCTTGATATTATTTGTCTGGTCCTGGGCTGCAGCCTGCCCTGTGATTAACATACCACTTGCAGGGATTGGGCAGTAGTCAATGTGAATGAAGTGTCTGTGGCCTGCCAAGAGGTGATTGGTCAGTTTGTGGCCCTGGTAGGCGGGCCAGCCCTTGAAATTGACAAGAAGTTTGTGTATATAGGCAGCCAACCCCACAGAGGATTTTCAGACAGAAAAAAAAAGCAGTAAGACAGGAAGCAGGAAGAAGAAGAAAAGATGAGAAGAAGCACAGAGAGAGAGGAGGCAAGGGATCTCCTGCCTGGTGGCAGAGCTGGTGGCATAGCTGATGGCAGGGAGGCAGAAGGCAGAGACCTGTCCTGTGGGGACTGAGAAGAAGCCTTTTCTTAGGGGGTTGAGAGGAGGCCTATCCTTAAGGGGCCTGCGTGGCTGAGAGAGCTGTTCTGCGCTGAAGAAGGGTGGGGTGTGCTCTCCACTTTGGGGGAGTCTTCTAGACTTTGCCTGCATGCTTCCTATCCTACCTGTTACTTCCTTATTAAACAGGTTAACTGTAAGTATGGTCTGTGAATTCTGTGTCGCCATTGCAACGCATAATCAAACCCAGCAGAGTAGTAGTGCTGCGGGAGGGGTGGCTAGTGTCAGGATTAGTATGAAGTTTGGAGAGTGGATATCTGACCTCCATCTCATAAGAACCTGCTTTGGGCTGATCCTGGTCATTATTCCCTTTGATGAAATGTGTGCCTGTCTAGGTGCACCTATGTTTGAAAGTTCCTGAACCTAGAATTTAACACTTGACTCCTAAAGTACCTAAGAGTCCTTTGCAGGACTTTAACATACTGTGAACCTTCTGGTTCTTCTTCAGGGCCCACCCGGACCTCTGCTCCTTTGCTCCCTGTCTTAGTGGTACGGCCTTGACCCGTGGGGTGCATCAGTGGTGTGCTCTTTTCCAGCAGGGAGAGGTATGCTCCCTTCTTTCCTGAAGCTGATGCATGTAGTGTCAGTTGGTGTAGGCTCCTTGCTTATATCTTCTAGGCTGGTTGTGCCTGAGCCTTTACACAGTGAATTACACAGGATAGGTATATTTTTAATTAAATAGTTGTGGCATTTCGGGAGCTCTGGTGGCATAGTGCCTAAGGCATTTGACTGCTAACCAGAAGGCTGGCGGTTCAAACCCACCAACCACTCCCTCAGAAGGAAGCCTGGGCAATCTACTTCCATAGAGATACTGCCTTGGAAGCCCAAGGAAGGGTCGCTATGAGTCAGATTTGACTCGACGGCAGTGAGCTTGGTTTTGGTTTTATTGGCGTTTAATTTGTATACTGTGGAAGTCACCTATTTTAAATTCAGTGATTTTTAGGAAGGAACTCTGGTAGCGTAGTGGTTAAAGCATTAGGTTGCTTACCAGAAGGTTGGTAATTCGAGCCCCCAGCTGCTCCATGGGAGAAAGATGAGGTAATCTGCATCTGTAAAGATTTAGAGCCTTGGAAACCCTATGGGGCAGTTGTACACTGTCTTATATCGTCATTATGAATTGGAAGTGGCTTGACGGCACTGGGTTTGGGTTTTTGGTTGTCAGTAAATTTACAGAGTTGTGCAAACATCACCACAGTCTAGTTTTAGAACATTCCTGTCACCTCACAAAGCTCTCTTCTGCTCTTCTGTAGCCAGTCTCTGTTCCCAGCTGCCGCCCACCACTGCTCTGGCCTGCCTTGTGGATTTGCCTATTCCTGATAGGAAATATATCACATTTTGTCATTGACCGTTGTTGTTTGGGGATGTTCAGTTGACTGACTCACAGCGAGCCCACGTACAACAGAATGAAATGTTTCCCGGTCCTCAACTCAAATTGCAAGAGTTTTTAAGAAGCCCTGATGGTGCAGTGGTTAAGCACTCGGCTGCCACCTGAAAGGCTGGCGATTCAAACTTACCAGCTCAGCTGCTCCCCGGGAGAAAGATGTGGCAGTCTACTTCTGTAAAGGCCCTAGAAAGCCCGTGGGGGCAGCTCTTCTCTGTCCTGTGGGGTTGCTATGGGTTTTTGTCATTGACTGCTTTCCTTTTATTTTGCCTTTATGTTGTATATATGGCATTATATTAAAAAAACATATATATATATATAGGAAATTTATCAATCTCTTTTTGTATGTAGGAGATTGTCAAAATATCTGTTAAGGAGAGGGCCTTCTGGGTGTGCTGGAGCCAGCCAGGAGCCCGTGTGGCAGCTGGACATAGTCTGCCGGCAGCAAGAAACCGTTGACTCTGGCCACTGACTTTCAATCTAGTTCCTACCGCCCCGCACTCACCCCCAAACCCCATGACCTCAGGACCCTCCAAGACCAGAGTGTTCCCAGCCCCCAGCTGGGGGTGATGTCTTTGCTGAGATCGCCCAAATTGCAGAAGGGTTGCCCCACCACATGTGGTCACACTTCCTGCCCTCCGAGCCAGATGCATGAGTAATTTCTCTCCCTTTCCCCTCCTCACAGGGACTTCCTTCCCCGAGGCTCAGGAATCGTCACGCGGCGGCCTCTCATTCTGCAGCTCATCTTCTCAAAAACAGGTATGGTGGGGCAGCCCACGGGCATACTGCTTCCCAGACGTGAGCATGGACATAGGTGTCCAGGAGGAGTGGCGGCTGAGACAGGGATCTGGACTCCGGGGCTGTCGTTTTGGCTTGAGTGCACGTTCTACACACTTACGTAAGGAAGTTGAACGGTTCACCAAACAACCACATTCCCGTAAGGAGAGTCAGCAACTGATCAGGCTCCACCAAAAAAGCAAACTCACTGCTGTTGAGTCGGTTTGACTTACAGTGACCCCTCCTTGAGTTTCTGAGGCAGTATCTCTACAGAAGTAGGTTGCCGAATCTTCCTCCCAAGGAGTGGCTGGTGGGTTTGAACTGCCACCCTTCTGGTTAAGAGTCACATGCCTTAGGCACTATGCCACCAGAGCTCCCAGCCAGGCTCCAGGGGTCCATATTTGCTTATATATTGTCAAGGCTACCTTTTTGCAAAACTACTTCAAAACTAGTAGCATACACGGTGACACCTCAGCTCTAAACACTTCAGTGCACCACCTGCTGAAATAAGGATACTCTTCTGCACAGCCGTGGTCAGAACCAAGCTCAAGAAAAGGACTCACTCCTGCCTGATATCTAAAGTGCCTGCTCTGTATGTGCAGTTCCCAGTTGCCCCTCCGTTGTCTTCTCTGGCTGGCCTTACAACGGCTCTCATCACTCCTGCCATACTCCCCATTGCAGGGGCTCCTCTCTTAATGAGAGTAGAATCCTCACTGGTTGCAGCCACTTGTTGAGGGTCAGTCCATCTTGTGGAGGGTCTTCCTCTTTTTCACTGATGCTCTACTTTACCAAGCACAGTGTCTTTCTCCAGGGATTGGTTCCTCTAGATAACACGTCTAAAGTATATGAGATGAAGTCTCACCATCCTCACTTGTAAGGAGCATTCTGGCTGTATTTTTTCCAAAACAGGTTTGTTCATTCTTCTGGCATTCCATGTATATTCAGTGTTCTTCTCCAACACCGTAATTCAGAGGAATCAGTTCTTTTTCAGTCTTCCTTATTCTTTGCCCAACTTGCACATGCATATGAGGTGATTGGAAATGCCAAAGTTTGGGTCAGGCTTACCTAAGTCCTCAAAATGACAGCTTTTTAACACCTTAAGAGGTTTCTGGCAGCAGATGGCCCAGTGCACTGAAGTCCAAATTCAGGGTGACAGCTCCTAGTAAAAGGCTTTCTCTATCTGTCCTTGTCTTTGGCTTCTGCTCCTGGGTGGTGTTCATATAGTTTGTCATTTCTCTTCCTTTTTATAAAAGAGATTAAATAAGCAAGCTAGAGATTAAATAACCAATCCTGCTAGCTTGCTTATTTAATGTCTTTTATATCTTAAAAGAGATTGATTTAAGATATACCCTACACTAATCCTGTCTCATTAATGTGACAAAGACAGCTCATTCCCAAATGGGGTTATAACCACAGGCATATTAGTTAGGATTTATAGCACATATTTTGGGAGACATAATTCAGTCAGTAAAAAGGCCCTTCCTATGTCTCTAGCTCGAAAACTCTCCCCAACCCCTGCAGCCTGACCACAGCATTTCCAGTCTCTTATTGCTCCAAGTGAATATGTGGACACTTTGTACCAGGCCTCAGTGGGCCGCTTTGGAGGCAGTGTGAATACCTCAGTGCTGTCCCTGACCTTCCCTGAACCCTGGCCCACTGGGGCAGTAGACGTGGGGCAGGTCATCACAGCAGTGTCTTACTGCTGCTGTGGTCATGCTAAGAGAGGACGGCTCAGAGATCATGGGAGAGTGTGATGGGCATCAAGGAGCTCTGATGGTGCAGTGGTTAAAGCACTCAGCTGCTAACCAAAGATAGGTGATTCAAACCCATCAACCACTCCACATGAAAAAAGATGAGGCAGTTTTCTTCCGTAAAGCCTTGGAAACTGTGCAGGGCAGTTCTACTCTGTCCTGTAGTATAGTTGTAAGTTGGAATCTACTTGATGGCAGTAGGTATGATGGGAATTGGACCCCCCGCTCCCTTGGGGCTAGGGGCCCAAGGAGAACATTCCAGGCAGGGCCAACAGTGAGTGCAGAGGGGTGAGGCAGGGCAGAGGCCAGTTTCATAGGGCCTCCTCAGTGTGGTAAGGAATTCATGCCATGAGGAGGCATGAGTGGCAGGTGGGGTGGGCAGAGGCTGGCTCAACCATCAGTTCTGGAAAGTCCTGGTGGCTGTTTCATGGATCAAGGACCAGGCAGGGCCAGGTGTGCGGAGGGGAGGGCAGTGAGGTTGGCATGGTGCCAGGTGAGAGGTGATGGAGCATCCATCCCACTGACAGGAGAGAGGAAGCTAAGTGCAGTGTGGGACTGCATTGGTGATTGCTGGGGCTTGTGGGTCACTGGGGGCTGCACAGTGCCATGTGCTCTAGCGATTGGAATTTCATTGAGCCTGGCTCTTGAGTTCATGGCCTCTGAGCTAGGCTGTCACCAGGATCTCAGACAAGGGGTTTCCCTCTCTGTGCCTCGTTTTTTTTTTTTTTTAATTTTATTTTTATTTGGGTGAAGATTTACAGAGTAAATTCACTTTTCATACAGCAGTTCACATATACTTTGTCTCATGTCATTGACCAAAA